CATGGTGCCTGTCAAATTTAGTGGCTTAATAAATGTTGGTTTCCTTTCCTTCCCCCCTTCGTCCCTTCTTCCCTCCCTCCCTCTTTATCTCTTTCCATTCATTTTCCCATGATTTTTTTTTCTCGCTTGCTTCCTATTTCTGTTTTTCATTTTTTTTTACTCAGTCACTGACTAATCTGTAACTGCCACAGTTCTAGGTCTAGAACCACAGAAATTTTCAAATGGGGATGGTTCTACCCCATGAGAACACTTACCAATGTCTGGAGGCAATACACTTTGTCACAACTAAAAAAAAAAAAAAGGTACTAATGCATCTGGTGGGTAGAATGAGGGATACTGTTAAATGTTTATAATGCACTGGACAGCCCCCCAACAATAAAGAATTATCCATCCCCAAATTCTAGTGGTGCTGAATTTGAGAGCCCTGTTCTCAAGGTTTAGATTCATATCTTAAGATTCTCAGGTATCATAGGAAAGACAAACAAAATGTTAACAATGTTCTCTTTTAAGCTGCAAGTGCAGGTTGCTGGAGAAATAAAAAAAGAGATGTCAGTGAACTTCTTACAAAAGAAATGATATTTTCAATGACTCTTAAAGAATACTAGAAATACAATAGGAGTTTCCACCTACTGAGTGCTTTTTATACAATAGCACTGGGCTAAGCCATTTCCATACATTATGAGAGAATGTGTTGTTTATGAGCTTTGTGTGGGGAGGAACAAGATCTATATCTTCAGCATCTGTATCAATGTCAGGTACATATTAAGCACTCAATAAATACATGTTGAATGAATAGATGGATGCAAATATCTCAGTTCTGAGCTTAGAATATAATAAGAACTCAGTAAATAGCATTTATTATTAAGGTATCTTTTATTATTAATGTATGTCATATTGAATATACTAGGTCATATACTAGTAAGTTTTAATACAAATTGGTTTATGATTTCAATGTTCACACTCTTAACAATTAAGCCCCAGAAACTGTATAGGAAAACTGTATAGGAACAGATGAAGGATAAGGCATTACAAAGGGAAAAACATAGGACCATCATGGAGAAAATAAGGGCTGTTGGGAGGTAGTAGTGATGAGACCACACAAGGACAGCACAGGTTACGAGGCAGAACAATAGCAATGAGGCTGCAAATGTGGGTTGCAGTCAGATTGCAGAGGCCCCTGTAGGTCCTGCTATGGTGGGCCTTGGATGTGGGCTATTGACAGATGCACGGACAAGTATTTCCTTTGCAGTTACTCTTTCAGTTTTTAGACCTGAAGTAACATGCAGGAAAGATCTCTATCCCTGTGCAAGGAACATGGAGCAGTTTGTAAAAGAAAGACAAGTGGGAAAAAAAGATGGATTTGGGAGGTCTGGCAGATGAGATGTCCTAAAGAACAGAGAAAAAAGAAAAGCCAGTGCAAAATAATAATCATAATAATGTACCCAGGAACCTGATTATACACAATACCAAAATTACATGATGCCAGCCTCATTGTCTAACATCTTTCTTGCAATTAAGAATTCAGTATTAAGATCTTTCTAAGTTTCCTGTCATTATCCCCCTTTGTGCTAACAATGTTTTTCCATCACACAGGTGCTACAGGTGCGGACATTTTGGCACCAAATAGTTAAGACTGCTGCCAGAAAGTGTTGCCACCCAGCAAGTCTTCCAAGCTCAATCATGGTCTAATCTTGATTCTTAGCAAGTCTCTTCTCTGTGAGACTCCTCAACTCAGCTTCAGAGATGAGAACCGAAAATAAATTATTCCTGTTTCTCTGAATAGGGCCAATGGCCAAAGAAAATCAACCAATAAGTTCCTCTTTGAGATTTCTGTCTTAATTCTATTTATTCTTTAAGGATCAACTTAAAGTAGTGTTATTATGCATTATACAGTTACTATGGAACATGAACATCCTACATAATTGAAATATAACTCGTGGAGGCTCCCTCAAAACCCTATGGCTAGATAATCTTCATTTTCCAAGTGAAGGAAGCAAGTCTTAAAAATCCAATAATAGCTAACATTTATTGAGCAGAAATATTTGACAACAAACATTCTAAATGCTTTTTTATGCATTATCTTACTTTATTCTTATAAAATGTTTTCTGTAGACTCATCCTGACTATCCTGTTACACACTTGCATCAAAGTAATGAACAAAATATTCACCTTCTACCTCCATACTCCTTAACCCCAAGTGCTAAGGAATAGGTGCTCAAGGAATGTGTAATGAAGAAAAAGATGAAAACAAAAAGGAAGAAAGAAGGAAAGGAGGGAGGTGTAGATAAGGAAAGATGGAAGGTAGGAGATTATGAAGTTTAAAACGTTCTAGTGAAAAATAAAAATAGATAAAATATTATGTAAAGCTCAGGGTGGTCAGCTCTATAGTGGGAGTACATGCAAGATAATAAAGCACGGGGAAAAGGTATTTACAACAGTCTGGGATTCCTGGAATGCTTCTGTGAAGATGCTTTGTTTTGGCTGAGATGAACAGTAGTTGCCTGGGCAACAAAGAGGGAAGAAGTCATGGCCACATGGCTGAACAAAAGCGTCAGTGATAAGGTACTCACTAAATCTTAGAGAATCTCTCCTATTGGTCAAATGAAGGCATTGGTTGTACATGTCTTAGAACAACTCCTTAACCCTAGCAACCTAATAAGTATGATTTAGTTGTAAGGGACATTTGGTAAGGGACTTTGGGTGCAGATGCACACCAAAACAAAACAAAACACCCACAAAATCAATTAAGGGCTTGTTTTCACCCAGATGTGAGCATGTTCACACTTGGTCCCTTAATTTTGTCAGTTTCTATCTCAGATCACAGCTTGAAATGCTGAGTGTGTGTGTGGTACAGCAGGTTCCTATCATACATCTCCCCAGTGGGCTTGGGGTTGTCATTGTAACTCTAGTGGAATGAGTTGTTTTATGCAGATACTTCTTAGGATCACCAAGAAGCTATGATTCTTGCCAATGGCCTCACATTTAATCATTTATTGGAGTTATTTATGAAGAGATATTAGCTCCTCAGCAAAACAATAGAGACCTTGAGGTTTGGACCATAATTGATACATTTTGTTTCCATGTGAAATACCTTTTAGTGCTGTATCCTTAGTAAGCACTCTGAGAATAAATCCTCAATTAATTAAGTAATGAAGAGGCTAATTCTTCAGAGCTTACTAAAAGGGTAAAGTCTGCCTTCCAGTCACTGGTTACAAGGGTTGTATAAAAAAGATTGTAGAAAAAATGCATTAAAAATGGACTATGGGGAAAAGACAGAGCTCAGAATCACAGCAAGAATGGTAAAGGGAGGGAAATGTTGATGCAATATGCTAATCACAGAAACAAGCAAGTTTAGAACATAAAACAGAACAGCTTAGAAATCAAGAGGAGGAAGAAACAAAGGGAATCGGTTTATAAGAGTCAGCAAAAGATTATAGTAATAACTGGACATTGAAATATTTACTGTGGGACTCACTACCTCCCCGCTATGCTATAGACATATTATATGCTCAGGACAAAACAAGAGACACAGTCATATGGGAGCCTTAAGAAAAATGCAATGGATCAAAATTTAATTTAGCAATTCAGCAAACATTTATTAAGTATCTACTCTGGACCAAGAATTGTGTTAGGCTGTAAAAATACAAAGATGAATGAGACAAAGACAAATGAACCCAAGGTTTACTGGGGCTAAATGACATGCATTATAGCTTTTTGGTAACAGTGTGATACGTGTTATAATAGAAACATATGTGCATTGCTTTGGAAACAAAGAGGAGAGAACAGTTTAATCTATCTGAGGGAGTCCGGGAAAAAAGTAAGAAGAAAAAAACAAAAACAAAACTATGGAAAAGCAAAGCCATTTGCAACTGGCCTTCAAGGTTGTTAATAAGTTTCTCAAACGGACAAGGAAGAGGAAAGGACAGATTTTCTAGGTCAAGGAAAAATCATGAACAAAGGCAATGAGGTATACACATTTTTGGTGTGTTGGAAAAAAACCCTTGTAAAGTAGCAGAATGTGGCTAAAGTATTAGGTACTCAATTAAGGATCAAAAATAAGTAAGTAGTAGCTGGGTTATAAAAGGCTCTGAATTACATGCTAACAAATCTGGACTTTTTTCTCTAGCCAAAATATTAGAAGCTTCAAAATGAGAAGATGTGATCAGAGCATGTTTTAGAAAACCATTCTAGTGCCACAGTAAAAATAAATGAGCTTGGTGAGGTCTTAAAGAGATTAAGTCAGGAAGGTCAATCAGAGGGTGATTTTTAGTAGATTCAAACTGAAAAAGAAAAAAGAAATGAATGAAAACATCCACAGAGCTACTTCTGGCATAAACTCTTGCTAGTGTCCTTTCTAAGAGTCTAGATATCTAATGTTGTGGATATTTGTAGGCAACATTATCTAAACACACTATGGCCAACATTACATAAAGTAATTTTTGATTTGAATATTTTATAACATGGTTGTGCTTGCATCCTATTATTATTACCCAGCACACAAATAATCAATAAATATTTGTGTGGATGAATGAAAAGTGTCCTATGATATTATGCTCAAAGGTTTTTCTCTGTGAGGAATGGTACTAAGCCTCTATGAGGGATTGTTTATATCAGAGATACTTGTATCTGGTGGACTCATTGGCGATGGGACACCAGCAATAACTGAGTTCTCTGATTTTATCAATAAAAATATTTTGAGTCTGAAAATTAAAAATTTTCACATTTATAAAAGCCTGGGTGAATGGAATGGTAAACATTAAAAAAAAAAAAAAAGAACAACAATAGAAATCTATCAACTCAGTAAATTATTTCTCTAGACTGAAAAGCCCAGTGTTATATGAGTAGTGTTGGCTTAAATGAAGAACAGATAGTGTTACAAGTATTGCCTTGCTTCATTGTAGCATAACATGATGGCATACCTCTTTAAAATAGAAAAAGAAAATACTTCAATTTTTTTCATTTCCATCAAAAAGTTAACATGGCTTTTTGGTGTTAGACCATTTTTATTTTTTTATTTTTTTTTTTAACAACCGATAATCAATTTATTAAAAAGGTTGATTTAAGCATCTGCAATGGTGACTTCAACCTCAACTCCTGGCTCAATACTGATGGAAGTAATCTGCTTAACAATCTCAGAAGGACTGTGCAAATCAATGAGTCGCTTGTGGATCCTCATCTGAAAACGATCCCAGGTCTTAGAACCTTCACCACAAGGAGTTTTTCTTGTAGTGATTCTCAGAGTCTTGATAGGCATCCGAACTGGTCCTTTCACTTTGAGATTCTTTTCCTTTGCGCCTCTGATCAAGTCAGCACATACCTTTTCCAAAGATTTTACGTTGCGGCTGGTGAGAGTAATTCTGATTCGGTGAATCGCCACCTCCGGTTCCACGGGTGTCTTTCCGGTGTCTTTAAAAGCCATGGCTGCGGCGCGGCTTCCTGACCGACTTGTTCCTCGGTGAGAGCGAGCAGCGGTGAGTCAGGAGCAGGAGCCGGGCGTCCAAACCTCCGCTGTAGCTACGACCGCGTCTTCCTCAAAGAGCTAGACCATTTTTAAAGAGTATTCTTGCTTGGCATAAAATTTCCATATTTATCAGTATCAGAAAGAATGTTTTATTTGAAGGCAGATAGAACTGCTTTCAAATCTTAGAACTTTTCCTCAACAGTTGTGTGACCTGGAAAGAGACTAAATCTCTTTAACTCTCAGTTTTTTATCAATAAAGTCAGACAAATGTTTCATACCCATTTTTGGAAATAGTAGCTAAGACAAGTACAGAAAAGATTTCACTGTCTTGAGGAATACATGTGAAGGTCCAGAATTCTGCTTTTTCTTCTTTTCTTCTCTCATTGCACTAATTTCCATTCCTATCTCCCCAAATACATGTATTTTCTAAAACAAACAAAACAAAAACAAGCCCCATAGTAACTGGAAAGCAAAACTGCCACAAAGTTCAGAGAAAGTTCAAGTAATTAGATTGCACTGGTATTTAATCTCAAATTAAAAACCCCGACTCCCTGAGAAGAGTTCCAGATATGCTGGCGATAATTTAAACACCCAGAGCTTTTCTTGTCACAGGTAATAGCCTTTACAAAGTGACAATTTTAAGGAACAAAGTACTATGACTCTTTGTGTATGTGACTGAGCAATAAATATAGTTAAGATTTTGCATATCAGGGAAAAAATAAACTTTAGAAGTCTCAGCTCACACAATGCCAACACTCCCAAACTACCCACTGCCCAACAAATTTGTTTGTCATGTTCTAAACAGGAGAGCAAGTATGTGTTTTGCTTAATTATGGATAACTTTCTCTCTGATCTAGAGATAGCAGTGGAATCATGGTCTAAAGCCATGTTGAATACCTCCTGATTTCTCAGTGCATTTGGCATGGCATGTTTGTTTAATTTGCTGCTATCTCAGGATTAATGGTTTTGCTTCCGTCCTAGTGACTTGAATCCTTTAGCTGAACTTGTTTATTATAATGTGTCTGTGACTTTTTAGAGAACCGCTATGTAAAGTAAGGAAGAGATGGATCTCATAATGGAATTGCAGTCTCAGATTTTCAACTCTCATTCTGTAGTATTTAATTGGCATTTTCCTAATGTCATACTGACAGTAAGTCCTACACCATCCCTGGAGATTAAAAAGCCCTTGAAGGTGTATTATGAAACCTTTATTTCTAGAAACACTTCCCCTCTCTGGGGGAAAAATGCAGATTTAAAGAAAAGTTACAGCTGAGTCAGGAAATGGAACAAAACCTGGCTAAGATGTATTTGTAATTATCAAAAGAAACTGAGGATTGGAAGGGAAGAAAGATAAGAAAGGAAATGACAGAATAAAAAGATTTGGGGGTGCCTGGGAGGCTCAGTCGGTTAAGCATCCAGCTCTTGGTTTTGGCTGTTATGAACTTAGGGTCATGGGATCAAGCCCCAGGTTGGGCTCCGTATTCAGCGGAGAGTCTGCTTGAGATTCTCTCTCCCTCTTCCTCCCCCTCTGTCCCTCTCCTGCTTGAATAAATAAAGAAAATCTTTAAAAAATAGTTGAATTTTTTGCAATTCAGCCTAGGGTGAGAGAAAGCTGAGGAAATATATGCTTCCTCTCTGGAAGACAATTGTCTGCAAGGGAAGGGAAGTGACTCTCCATCATGCAGAATGTCCTTGTTCATTTTTTCCCAGAATGGACTTACCATGGATATCATTAAGATTGATACAACTCAACTTTTTGCCCCCACCACCACTCTCTACAAACATGTTTCTCCTCCAATGTTACTCACAAGGGGAGGAGCAGTAGTATTTTAATAGGTGCCCAACCCAGAAATCTGGACACATCTCTGAACTTTCTCCCTCTTCCTCTGCATCCTTCTATTAGCAAATTTTGTTGGCACTACATTCTAGAACATTCACATAATCCATCCACTCTCTGAAAAGTTCTACTGCAACTATTCTGGACCTGGATACCACTACTCTTGATTGATTTTATTGCCTAAGCCTTATAAGTAGCTTCCTGCCTCTATATCAACCAGCTCTGATACAGACCCTCCAGACAGAGTAGCTCTATTTAGTACAAATAGAATCATATCATTTCCATATTAAAACCCCTCAATGTCTTCTAGTTTACCTAGAATAAAATCTTATGTCCTTAAAACAATTCAGTTAAGACTTTCCACCCTTATCATCAACCTTCACAGTAATTTAGATACAAATTTTTTCACATCTTTACTTGCACCTTGAGCTTTTTATTCTCTATGTCTTCTTACATGCTTTTCTCTTTGCCTGAAAAAAATTCCTCTTTCCCCACAACCCCTAAGTCTTAGCTCAGTAATTAATTTCTCAGGAAAACTTTTTTTTTTTTTTTTTGAAAAAAAATTTTATTTATTTGAGAGAGAGTGCACGCACCTGCATGCACGTGCACATAGCACATGAGAAGAGGGGAAGGGTAGAGGGGGAGGGAGGGAGAGAAGCAGACTCCCCTCTGAGCAGGGAGCCTAACACTGGGCTTAATCCCAGGACCCAGAAATCGTGACCTGAGCCAAAGGCAGAAGCTTAACTGACTGAGCCACGCAGGTACCCCTCAGGAAAACTTTCTTGACACACAAAATCCAGTCAGTTATTCTTCCAAGGTGTTCTCACATTGTTCTGTATTTCTCTTAATTAGTACATAATAGTATTTATTTACTATATTATAAGTTTACTCATCTGTATCTTTCATTGAGTAGTATGCTTTTCAAGAAAAGAAGCTAAGCCCATTTATTCTTGTATCCTCAACAAGAACAGTGCCCAGCACAGAATAAAACCCAATAATTATTAATTAAATTAATGATTAAGTGAATCCTGTGCACTACCCTCACAGTATGAAAAACTGCTTGGATTCATAAGATAATTTCTTGTTTTTCATGGTCTAAGAAGACTATAAATAGGTAACTTAAAATGTTTATTACCTCAAACAATCAAACTTTTAGATCACTCTTTTGCTGTCCCTAAACAAGGATCTAAGTTAACAAAATAATTGTCCTTGATCCTTAAAAGATACTTAGGTGTATTTTAAAATATTCTATTTTCTTCTGTTAAACTAGTTGTCATAGGATCACTTTCATCTCTCTCACGTATTAGTCTACAACATGGTTAGCTGTGAATTACCACCCTAAGATGGATCAGGGAGATAAAAGACATAGTCCACTTGCCATTGAGAGAGAATTCAGGAATCTTGGGAATACCTATTTTCTATTTTTTTAAAAGATTTTATTTATCTATTTGAGAGAGAGAGAGATTACAGTAGAGAGAGTGAGCAGGAGAGAGGAGCAAAGGAAGAGAGAGAAGCAGGCTCCCCACTGAGCAAGGAGTTGCATCTGGGCTCCATCCCAGGACCCTGGGATCATGGCGTGAGCTGAAGGTAGATGCTTAACTGACTGAGCCACTCAGGAGCCCCAAGACTGCCTATTTTCTAAAAGCCTAAAGTTTATTCAAGTTAAATGAACAAAGGTCAGGGCCAGGAGATTATTATGCCAAGACAGAGAAAAGACTTGTGACCTGAAATTCATTGATAGATTAATAAAATTATACCAAAATTAGCTATTTAAGAAGTAAAAAAAAAAGGTAAAAGACACTTGAGGTTGGAGTCTAAGACTAAGTTATTGGCATGACAGAACAATCCTATTACTTTGAATAAGACATTTTAACTTTTGGTTTATCTCCCCTGTAAAATGGGGCTATTTGCTTTACTTTTTGTAACCCCTAGAGTGTTTATAAAGCTCCAACAGTAATAATGTTGCCTCTGGAAAAGACTCAAGTAGTAAAGATTTGTAGTACCTCATAGAACTCTTAGAAGACATCAGAGAACTGTACAGTAGAACTCAGTGACCCCCATCCCATGAAGGTTATATGGTCCTTCTGCACTGTCTCTTCCCAGAAGGAACTGCATTCTGGGAAATCACAAGCAGTAATATTATCCAATTTCTGATTCTTATATAGTACCTAAAAAATGTATGCTCAATGAATATTTGTTGAAGAAAACAAAGTTTATATGTATATTTTTCCTGATGCAGAAATATCAACAAATATTTTAAGAGGAAAGAATAAACATCTAAATTAAGTAGAGTACATCTCAAGGAAGAGGGAAAGAGAGCTGTTGTGTCACTGCTACACATTCTGTTCCTGATTCTATGCTAATACCTTTAGATATTTTGTTCTACTTGAAACTCTTATCTCTGAAAGGGAATTGGCACCATTTTACTGATGAGACAACTGAGGCTGTCAGTAGAACCAGAATTGAAATTGGTAGAATTGGTAGATTCTTGGTAGAATTGGTAGAACCAGGATTGAAAACTGAGTTTACTGCTTCCAAATTTCATTTTCTATCCAATTTCAATTACTGATAGAGGTAGGATTCTAATGCAAGAATGAATATTTTCTGTATCTTCCTCTTAAAGATTCTGTACCTACTTACATTTCCAAAAAGCAGGTAGATCTCATGAATAGTTCTCTATAGCTAGGACTATTTTAATCACCCCCAATAGAAAGAATGGTGAATCACACTGTTTGGTCAGAAATCGGAAGATAAATTAGGTTCCTTGCTGCAGCACATTTCCTTGATGCATATGTAATATCAATCAGAATCTCTCTTGATGACTCAGTGGGAAAGAACAGCAGGAACGTCTTCAACATCCAGCGGGAAGCCTGGTGTGTAGCCTGTTCCAAGTATTATTTGAGAAGGAAAAGTTCGCAGGAGGGCACAAGATTGGTCCTGCTAACTCAGTACTAACAAAACTCTCGCTGGGCTGAGATCAAACTTCCCCAACTTGTTCTGCTGCCTTGCATTTCCAGGTCACCCATATGAATTCAGTTAAATCCATTCTAAAGCATACAAAATATACTCTCAATATTCATATGCAGCATAAACATCATTTTCATCATGAAGAACATTTTTTTTTCCTATGAAAAGAGGTAGCAGAAGGCAAAGGATGACTCTAAAAGTCTTTTTTTCCTGTAAATGACATACAGAAATTAGTTCAAAGGCTAAATATGTCAAAGTGCTCAGTGACCCAGGTGTAGTACAG